TAGAAACCGAATCTTCTTTATAATCAAGAATAAAAAGAGAATCATAATTTCTTTGACTTGGCATTAAATTGGTACTACTCGATACCATTTCTACAATTGGACCTAAAATATACAAATTATATTAATTTCAATAGTAGTTTGCTTTCTTTTGAAGTGAAAACTTCTGTAGAATGGGGTGATTTGAAAAAATGAAACACGCTGTGGCGAACGGTGGCATAACGCGGCGATGAAACGCATAGAGAAGAGAAAAAGAGACAATCGTATAGGACTGAGCCTGCGAGAGAATGAGACAGGATATAGCTATACAATTTTACCTATTCTCGGTCTCCTCTTTATGCTCTGCTTCGTAGTTATCGTTCGTAGTTATCTAAATCTGTTTGTAGGTAGGAGTGATAGAAGGGTAGAAGAATAAACAGAGATAAGCACGTAGGTAGGCGACAAAAGAATAAGGTACAGATGAACCGACGGTCGAAATAAAGCAAGAAGGTGTATGGTCTGCTTTGTAAGTTGTATAAGTGTGTAAGTTTGTGTGAGTCTGGAAGGCTCTCGAACGATACCGATGCTTTGTTTATTGCATCAGACCTGACGTTTTGGAAAATTTGAGAACCGCGAGTTGATGGATATGGATTGATATAAAGGAGCGGGTATTGAGTCGTCATGAAAAGTCGCCAGTCGCCAGTGGTCATCAGCCATTGTTCGTCGTCATTCAGTTGAAAAAGTACAGTTGCGTATATCGGTTGTTATCATAAGATTGTGAAGCCTTTATTGTATCTTTTCTAATACCTATTTTAAATATAGTTTATTAAGAGGATTAAACTAGGTATGAGTTAACCTCGCACCTTTACACTAAACTCAATCTTACATGTATATATATATTTGTTTCTATCTATGGCTATCGCATTCGGCATTCTATCTTAATTAATAGAATTTGGAAAATGATAGTATCTCTCAGCTACCCCCAACCCAAGATCATACCGGTGCTCTTTGATATATATAGTAACAATATTATAATAAATAAATCCTACGATTAGCTTACTTCTGATACTGTGCATTCGTCTCAAAATTTTTTTTTTTTAAGGTTTCATTTCTAACTTGTGTGATCTGCACACATGTTTATTTCTAGAATATGTTGTATTAATTTTATATGTAAAATAATAAAAAAATGCTATATTATAATAACAAGCAGTGTTTTTTACTTTAAAAATTAAATTGTTTATGTCTTATTTGTTATTACTTAAAGATGGGTTGTTAGGAGAAGCAGAGCGTCTTCACAGTAAATATTAAATGAAAATTTGAGATTAAATACATTTTTAATAATTATTAATATTAAATAATAATGTGTTTCTTTTATAACGATGCTTAACACTAGAACTACCAACAGTTGTTATATACCTATTTCTATTAAATTTTGACCGGTGGGATAAATATCAACTAAATAGTTGGCAAAATATAAAAATTTAAAGAGAAAAGTTTTAAAGAAAATAAAATATATTTTATTCTAATATTACAAGTACATATTATATACATCTATTTACATAAAAGGTAGTACTATTATTTGTTTATTATTTAGGCTTAGTTATTATTTGAATCACCACAATTTTTACATAAAGACATTTTTTTCAATCTGTATTTACAACAAATATATTTTTACAGTGAGCACATACATATATACTCATAATTTTATTTTCACTACAAAAAGCATTGGCAAGTTTTTCGTTCAGATGGATCTTTATACCCTGCGCTAAATTCTTCTGCTAATGAAAACAAAAAACTTTTTTTCGATATATTTTCACCAGTCGCTTCTTTTTTCCTCCTTTTTCCAAGGATTATTACTTTCAATTTATTTTGCAAAGTGTTGATGTGAACACGTGCTTTTAAGAAATAATTTTCCTCGTGACTTTACTTAAATGGCTTTTGCCATTTTAGATTATCGCGTATTATAGTTTGTTTATTTTGGAATTCGATCTACATTGTTTTGGCTTGTGCATGTTTACATTCGATCAAAATCTTGATTCTACTCGGTGCCGATCAGCAGCTCGAACTTGCAAATACAGTAACCATTCATTGTCAGTTCGAGAGCTCAATTCGAGTTTAGATAAGCGATTATAGTTACATTTACTATTCACCTCCGGTGAGAATGAATCGACGATTCTCCTCTCATAGATGGTATAAATTTGTGAAATCATATTGGTTTTTACAGAAAAGATATTTACGACTTATATCCATTCTTCTTACTTCTTTTAATTTTCTTTTTGGATTATAATTGTAACATTTTCATTACCATTTCTCATCGGTAGGATTCGCCAACGTTTGGTTCTTTAGGCCAAGTCGGATGGAGAAGTTTGTGAGTAATTGTGAAAACCAGTAAAAATAATGTCTATTCCTTTGTAAAAATCTTATTTCAAACATCTCACAGGTTTTTTTCCTCATCTTTTATTCTCTTTTTGCGTCGCAGTTATTGTTGTCCTTCTTTCTCCGCGAGGTAAAGTTCGACTTCTACGCGTGTACATTGTTATTGATAATGCGACGTGTTTGAATTCTTTTCGCGGATTTGGAAAGATCACGGGTGCTTAACCGTTTAGTAGTTTCTCTAACAGTAGTGCTCAATTGTTCTGAAAAATATTCATTTTGTACATGAAGGTGTCTAGCGTTTCAAAATTGACATTTAAGGTACATACGCCAATAGGTGTTGACTGCTAATCCTGTAGCGTCACCCGATTTTGCAGTTGTTAGCTCATATATTCAGCCAATTGCAACCGATCAACATTACTTACTACTGCTTTTGTTAACACATTCGATACCATGAATTCTTTCGAAAACGACTTCCGAGAGCTATTATTTTGTTCATTATATTTTTTATTTTTAACCTCTTGCACTATGCTCAAAATTCGGAACAAGCTGTGCCTAACCCATGCACTCGAATAGTTGCGAAAAGATACGAAGCGGCGTTTTATTTGGCATAAAAAATTGGTTAATCTTTTAAGAATATTTTAAGTTTTTAATCATAAAAAAATTCAAAGTATTACCGAAGTTATAACAATTTTAAGTTTACCTATTCAATCGTAAGAGTTCCAGTTGGGAGTGCATAGCGAGAAAAGACGGTAGGGAATCTAAATGTAGCACCTTTGTCGCTTTTGGTAATCTTAATTTGAGTGTGTGTTTGAGAATTTATTGTGCGAGGCGTACAAGAGGAAATGGGTTCGTAATTATGTAAAGTAAAAAAAGATAATGCTGATATAGGTGGTAGAGGAAAGTTAGCAGCCAAGATTATTAAGAATTAACAGTTTACTATGGTTTTGTAATTAAAAGGAGTATAAATACATCAGTTGAAACCATGAAAGATGCGATATAGACAACTTATTACAATAAAATATCTACTGATGAAAATTCACAACATGACAAGTGCCCATCAAGCGATGATATCTGGTGTTCGTATCAAAAAATAAAAGTATATAAAACTTTGGATTATTATAAACATGAAAATTTAATTCCTTTAATTGTCCAAAAAGTAATTAAAAAAAAGTTAATACTAATTTATTAGAATGTTGTTTGTGGAAGGATATACCCAAAATATCAATAAAAGTCTGATCTCTGTAATTTGGTCTATAGCTCAAAAAGTRCATACAATGGGGCAAAAATTGTTGAAATTGCATCTATACACTATAAAAAATACATTATACTAGTGTATTATATATTATGCAATTATTAAAACTTGAAATGGGCCTAAATGTACTGCAATTAGTTGAAAAATTGAATTCTCAACGAATATCCATAGCYGACATACGAGCGTAACAAGAGACTAAAGAGGYCAAAAAATTAAAAAGAGCAGTACAAAAGAAATCAGAGGACATCACAACAATAATAGAAGACCTCATGTACGGACCAGGTATCGCAAATTAAAGGTAATTTAAAAAAAAAAGTGATTTAAAGATGCTTCCGTCGTACTTCTGTTTTTTTTTGCGTTTTTCTTGAAACCACTTTTTTCAAAACGATGTACACGATCTCTCAAGATTTACTCAATCAATTTGTTTTAAATTTACAGTTACACTTCATAAGTTTGTCTATGTATTCATTGGACCGTTTTTTTATTTTGTTTCTTGTTCAAAAGTTATTGATTTTTGAAACTCAAAATTTCAAGAAAAATTTGAAATTTTTTTTAATCGGCTGCTATTTCTACAAAAAATTAAAAATATGTTTTTTCCTCAATGAAGGCTTAGCCATTATTTTTCTTATTATTAAACAATTATCGTATTTTTTCTGAACATCTGTTAATCTAAAATCATATACACCATCAGCAAAGGTTTTTAAAACAGTGCTCTATATATAAGCTTATATTCCGCCATTTTTTTTTCATAAGGATAGAGTATGGAACAAATACCTATATGTCAAATTCTTAAATAGGCATTCATGAAAGGATTGGAATGTAGAATGAATCTGTTGCGAATCTTCTTGTGTTCGAATCTAATTAATCCTGCGGTTCAATTCTTTCACGAATCCTATCCTTAATTAAAATTTTATTAAACTATATAATAATTTTAATACATATTTTAGTTCGTGGTATAACTTTTATCATGAACGATAATCCTAGTTCAATTTTATCCATGGTATTTTACTCTATGTGTTACAAATAGAAGGTTTTTCTCTTTACCACAGATTATTGCATTTTTGATGAAATAACTAATATAAGAATGTAAATGACTCGTGAAAATGTTATATAGTAAGTGGAAATATAATTCATTACTATGATTATAAGCTGAATAATTGTAGGTTTTGTAAAAAAAAACTAGGGTAGGAAAAATGAAAAAGTTAATATACACTAATTATTCCAAAATAATTACATAGATTAAAAATATTAAACGAATATCTATCATCATATTGAATTATATTTCTTCTAAACTTGTTGCGTGTGTGTGCTTTTTTTATACTTTTATCTCATGATTAATATCATAGGTCGAGGTATTGATATTACGTATATAACATATCCAGTGTGCACGACCGGACCGACTCGTAAACAGTGGTAAAACTGAGTTCATATTAGACAACAAGATACGGCACTCTTTTTAAATACTATTTTCATTTAAAAGTTCACTTTATATGTTTTCCTTTCAATTATAATGGATATCGTGAATAGAAAGAGTTCATTTTTAATTGCATTTGGCTGTAAGTAATATAATTATATTATATTATTTTATATTTAACAAAATTTGTTATAAAATCTTAAAAATATTATATTTTTGTGTACGATGTGTGATAATTTTCGTACTAGAAAATTTAGATGACCTTGAAATCTCGACTACAATTTTGCTTACTCAAAAGAAATAGGCATTCACATATGCTGCTTTTTATGTTACGCAAGTTTCGCATGAGAATCATCTTTTCAAATTATTAAAAATAACAGAGATATATTAGAATCAAACAAAATAATTATCTTTAGATACTAATAATACGAGAAAAAATGATCACAATAATATGCTGGTGTAAATCTTTTTTTCGTTGCTTCTGGTTCTATATAAATATCATCACAAAAATATATAGATCTTTTTAAAAAAAAAACTTTCATATTCTTAAAGATATTCTTGAAATAAAAAAATTATTTTGTAAAATGTTTAAAATATCCAGACAGATGAATGTAAATGCATTTGAGATAGAGAATTGATGAGTGTATGCGTGAGAATGATTTGTTAATTGATGAGTGATTCATTCATGGAAAATCACGACATTTAACGACTAAGACGTTAGATGTTAGGAAACAAAAGGAAAATAAAACTGCAATCAGTCAACGTTAGGTGTTAGACGAGAAAGGTGAAACTTAAACGTAAAAAATAGACTTTAGAGGCAAATAGATATTAGACTAATAAACGACAGGAAAATGTAAGAAACAGATAAGTGTTAAGAATCCTTTGTTTACAATCGTATTGAAAAACTGTAGAAGAAAAAAAGTGCCCTTTTTTAATAATGAGGAAATTTAATACTGAAAAGAATTTTTAAGTTTAAAAAAAAAAAGAAGACGATAGAGTCATAAGCGAAAGACACAATGAAAAGTACACGTGATAAATTAGTGATTGGACGAACAAGAAAGATGATCGAAAACAAATTTACTATTATTTTTATCTGTTATTGTTAATATTTTTCAATTATACTATGATAATTTTAACCTAATAAGAAATAATTTCATTCAAGAACTCATATATATCCATAAATATATGGGGCATTTCACGTCAAATCGATCACTTTGACCCCGATCCTTTTCAATTTTGATAAAACTATTTTATCATTGTTAACTTCATTAAAAAACTTTTTGAGAATTTCTCCAGATTTTTTTGGCTAACCCAAAAAAAGTTAGGAATTTTTCAAAAATTCAAAATTATTGTTCCATTGTTTTTTCAAATAGCTATAACATTGTTAAAAATAGACTTATCAGGACGTTTCTTTTTTAATTTTTTTTTTCTAAATATACTTTATGAAAAAAAATATTTAAAGTTAAATTTTATAAGAAATATCGTTTTTTGGAAAAAATCTCAAATTTTTAAATTTTAGTTTCTTCAATTTTTTTTTCTTAAGATTTCGTTCATTCCGAACCTAAATCTTACCTTCTCTAGATGGACGGAATTTTTTTTCTATAATTTTTTTTAATTTTAAAATTTTTCGGTTTATTTTTTTAGGCATTTAATTTTGTTTCTATACTAAAATAAACCTCATTAAACAAATATAAATATTTTTAAATGTATTTAATGACATTAGTTTAAATTTATACTATCGAGAATTATAAATACAAAAAGATTTCAGTGCATTATTGGTCAATTTTTCAAATAAATATAATTAAAAATTTATTTAGATTTCTTTGGTTGATTAAATAATTTACACAAAGTAAATTAATAATAATAAATTTACTATAAGACAAATTTAAAATGATATCTCTAAATTTCTTCAACTGCACAGATTTTCTAAGTGAATCTTTCGAATGCATTTTTCTTCATTATTAGAGGAAAACTAAATATGCATTGCAAAGATTTTAAACAAGTCGCATTCGTTTAACTAAAATTTAAACTGTACCTGCATTTTTACATTTTCGTTGAAATTTCATAAGGTTATAACGTCTTAAACATATAAAAACAAATAAGTTTTTTAATTTTTTAATTCTTTTTTTTATCTATTTAAATATTTTTCTTCGTGTATTTTCAATATCTTAATCATAAAACTATAAAAATTGAGACATGATTTATATATATTTATATACAATACAAGTGTTTGATATGCGATAACATTATAATAACATCCACAAACATTCTTTAGAGAGATTATCAAATTTTTGAAAACCAAAGCGACACTTAAAATACATTTTATTTATAAGTAATTCATAACCTTCAAAATATGTTCTTTTATTTTCAAGATGTTTTATATTTCATATATACAAATATCAAATTGTTTAACAAAAATGTAGTAATATACTGAATCTAACAAATGTCGCATATTAGTATACATATATATGTAAAAGAAATTTCTGTTTCTTATCATTAAAATTAAATGTATTTTAGTAGATATTTAGTAGATTTTATGTATAAAAATACGACGGATTTTGTTTGAAGAAATCAGTTATATATAGTTTTATGTAAAATTATAAAACGCGTCCATGAACTCAAAGAATGATATTATTCATAATGAACGAAAAGAAAACAATTATCATGATAAGATCAATTGCAAACAGAGTAATGTTGAACTCATGACAAACGCGTTCAATTGCGAGATTACAGTAAAAAAACTATGTAAGTGTACACTCGTGTCATAACACTCGTGTCCATGTGTTCGGACACGAGTCGCTTTCATAGTGTGCCACTCCGGCGTGCCCGCCAACTTCGATTACACTCGACTTCTTTCGACATCCCGAACACATGGATAACTTTCATTGTGTACAATCCCAGTGGCACAGGGAGAGGGTAAGATTTACCCACGATCTGGCAGCACAGCCGCCGACTACCGGCCGCCGTTTCGCGCTGAGCCGAGAGGAACGCTTTCGAACTGTCAGTTAGCTTACGACGATCTTCGCGACATCGCATTCAGAAACCTTAATTAATCTATACGCTAAAAATCATCAACGACCCGGCTTTCTTTACGGCTACACCCTTTCCTCTCGGACCGGAATCTTGCAATAAGGAGACTGCATCCTCGCTCTCTCCAAATAAATATGTGAAAGAAAGTAAGAAAGCCGCTGTCTGTATATCCGCTGTTCGTATATATCCGTCTGTATCTGTCCTTAGTCTTTGATAATCAGTCTGTGTATTATCTGTTATATTAGTCATTCTGCAAATCAGTCAGTTTATCATTTAGTCAGTCAGTCAATCGGCTATATATATATATTCGTAACTCTTTTATATTCTGTATTTTTGCAAATCACGCCACATTTTGTAAACTATTGTAAATATCGCTCGAGACATAATAATTAAATAAACTATCATATATTTCTCTCTGAACTCCATTAATATATATTTATATATATATATATATATATATATATCATTTTTTTTTAATTTCTTTTCTGATCCCCACAAAATGAAAAATTTTATATTGCTTTGTGCCTCATTTCAACTCTCGGAAATTATGATTGAATATTAATTTAATTGCATTGAATAATTTATTATTATAATAAATCAGATAAATTTAAAAAACCTCTAAGCAATAAAATCCTAAATTATTATTAATTGGCATTAGGAACTTAAAAGTTCATTGCCGCAAATACCAAATCCCACCATTATTCCTGTCCCTCCTAATATTGTCCTCCCATCTACGTCTTGGTCTACTCGGTGATCTTTTTCAATTCGATTCTCCCCCATGCGTTCCACGTGACCTGTTCATCTTAATCGGCGTGATTTTACGACGTTAATGATGTCCGGTTTGTTGTACAGTCGGTGTACTTGTATGTTATGCCCGTTTCTTCCATTCGTCGCGTTTTCCACCGAAGATTTTACAAAAGACTTTATTTTTGAAAACCCTAAATTTCTTTTCGTCCCGTAACGTAAGTGACTACGTTTAGCTACCATAAAGGACTATCGGTAGGATGATTGTCCTGTATATCCTAAATTTTAAACATCTAGACAGCAACAGCGAGCTGAGTAATTTATTGACGGAATAAAAGCACGCATTGCCTAAATTAATTCTTTTCGTAAGTTCTTCGTTAATTTCGTTCGTCTGGTTTATGATCGATCCTAAGTACCTAAAATTTCTGACCCGTACAAAAATTTTATCCCGGATGACCAAATTTCAGTATTAATAAGTCCTTAAATTAGCAGTTGTGGGGTGTTATAGAAAAAATGAAAAAAAGAAAGAAATAAAAAGATGATGATGATAAATGTATATAATATAATAATAACAAGAATATATATAATATATTTTTGTTATTATTATAGAATATATATTATATATATTATAACAAGAATATATATATGAAAGTAAATAATAATGATACGCACAGAAAAATAACATATAACTGATACAAATGAACAAAGAATTACAGACGTAGATTTACTTACAGACACAGAGATTAACAACTTATCAAACAGAGAATCAGTGACTTAGAGAGCCGCTTAACATAACTTATCTATACGTATTTATACAAAAAGTAACCTACGCCCTTTTTGAGAGGGGCAGGGAACATATTAATTTTATTTGCCTCCAACATCCACCGGAGGTGGGGCGAAATCGGAAAAAGCTCGGTGTCTCACCGTTTTCAATTGTTATCGTCAATGGTCCTCTCCATGGTAACCATCAACGGTTTTAAATAAGCAACCATCAACGGTTATCTCCCTAGCAACCGCTAACGGTTTTTCCAATTGTTATAAGAAAGATCTAGATATTAGTTTTATCGCCTACACAGTAAAAAATAAAAATAATCGTTATATTTTTATTTGGAAAAAAGTACACAAAAAAATTTCATTAAAATCGGTTGAGTAGTTTCGGTGACCATAAAAAACCAACAATGTGACACTGAATTTTGATATATAAAGATTGTGTATAATCCTTGTAAGAATCTTAGCTCACTAATGATCAAATAATTAATCAATTGGTTTCATTTCGTAGACTTCTTAATATTCATATCTCCTTCAATTGTGACAGTACAAGCAAATGTTTGTACAGTTCCTCCTCAGCCAGCAAATGGTTATCGACAATTATATAGGTTGCAATGCCAATCGCAACAAAACAATTGTTACGTACAGGAAGGTACAAAATTACCAATTTTGTCTCATTTAATTTATACTTGTAATACTGGATACCAAATAAGCGGTTCCAGTGATGTATTTTGTGATCGAGAAGGAAACTGGTTAAATATTCCAGTTTGTACTGGTAAGATTAAAAATTTAAGTATTATTGTTAATATGTGTATGCAATTTTTTTCTTTTATATTTGAATTTTTTTTCTGAAATATTCTTTCATCATTTAAGAAATTCGTTGCAAATCACTGGCTTCAGCGTCAACAGATGCTGATTGTAAATTAAATGGTCAATGGATATCTTGCGAATCTCCTGTTTTGCCTGGAACCACCGCGGAGTTAAGTTGTCGCAACAGTTATGAGGAAGTTGGAAATTTTTTATCCAAACATAGAAATCAAGTTACATGTAATAATACTGGTCAATGGGAACCACAACCAATAGAATGTTTCCCAAGTATGCTTTTTATTACTATTCATTTTAGGGATTGCAAAATAACTTTTGAAACTTTTATTAAGAAAATTAAGCTTTCTTCTACATTAATCAAAGTACAGGTAGTCCTCCCACAACACGGCATTCTATAACACAGTTTCACTTTAACGCGATAAGAAAATTTCAAAAATCTTTGTACGAAACATTTAATAATTTAACATTAAAAAAATTACAAAAAGGTCTAAGCTTAGCAAAAAATCTCGAGTCATTTTTCTTGAATGTAGACCTTTCCGCTGAAAAAAGCCAAAAATTCAAAAGGAAGTTACAAAACTGTTTAGCTCTATACAGAGAAATTTACAATGACTTGGTAAGAACCAACAAGCAAAAATAAAATCATAGACTTTTTAAAAAAAGAAGATGATGCAAGAAGTTTAAATAAAAAAAAAAGGTTTTGACGTTTATAAACGTTATCACGTTAAACGTGATATCATTCCACCAAAAAACATTCCGGTTGATTATATTGAGCAGAGAGAACGAAGAAATTGATTAAATTAAAGTTGCGTTATATATAAAAATGAAAATAATATTTTTTGTTTACTTTTTTTTCATGTTGCAAATACATTTACATTGTTAATAAGCATTTTGTTGCTTATGTAGAATTAAAAAAAATAGTTATTTTTAATAAATTATTGGAACGGAACCTCCCTTTTTGTGCTGACTCTGGGTCTCATAGAACACGGTTTCACATAACACTGCATTTTCTAAAAACCTATTTACCGTGTTATAGGAGGGTTACTGTATATCCATGTTAGATGACTTATAACATGTAGGTTTTCGAATTAACTAAAAAAAATTCAGATCTGTGTAGAAATATTTTTAACCTCTTATTTCTTTTTTATGGAGCATTTGGAAGTGGATGCCATAAAAACTGTTTGAAGCTATTTTCACTACAGTATTATATGGGAATATAGATAGAAAATAAATAAATAAATAATTATTTTATTATAAAGTTTTATGTAGCATCGAATTAAATGAGAAAAAAGTATAAATCGTTATTATAGAAGTATATCGTTGAAATTGATTCTTTCCACGAAAGTTACTAAAGAAAGTCACCAGTAGGCGTACGGGATTTAAAAAATTAGTGTCACAGTATATTTAAAAAAAGTTTATTATAAATACTAGGGTGGGTCAAAAAATGATTTTTTTTTTCAAGTGCCACGGAAAAATGGGTTGCTAGACACCTTAAGACAATTCTTACCAAATATGGGCTCTTAATTTTAATAGGAAGATCCTCCGCATCGCAGTTTTTTATTTTTTTTTTCAGTCCAATAGATTAAAATTCATACCTCATTATTTATGGATTGTACAAAAAAATGTTCTAGACGAATTTTGTAGGAAATTTAATGCTCTACAAAAAAGGTATCTTATATTTTTTCCGTAAACCTCACCATTTGAATGATATTGAAGATTTAAATTTGATGATTTTTAGACAAATTTCATTTTTGTTTATGAATTTTATAACTCGACAATAAATGACTATTAAAAAGTGCACAATACAAATTTTTGTAGAAAATTAACTGCTCTATAAAAATGGTGTCTTATGTTTTGGCGATTAAATTAAGTGTTCAAAAGATATTCAGAGACAAAAATCAGTACACATGAAAGTTTGATGATGAATATCTTTTGAACGTTTAATTTAATCCTACAAAATTCGTCCAGAACATTTTTCTGTACAATCAATAAATAATGAGGTATGAATTTTAATCTATTGGACTGAAAAAAAAAAAGTAAAAAACTGCGATGCGGTGGATCTTCCTATTAAAATTAAGAGCTCATATTTAGTGAGAATTGTTTTAAGGTGTCTAGCAACCCATTTTTCCGTGGCACTTGAAAAAAGAAAATAAGTCATTTTTTTTAACCCACCCTAATAAATACATTAAATTAGAATTCAGCATGCTAGAAAAAATTTCCAAAAATTCAATCATATAACGATTTTATATATCTAGCATCAAATTATTACTTATAATTATAATTATTTTGTTATTATGTATAATGTTCTAGTAGAATGTGTAACAAACTTCAATAAAGTTATGTTAAATGTTATTATTTATGATATGCTTATTAATTTAATTGATTTATTTATTTTTTGCTAAATTTACAGTTAAACTGTTCGTTGTAACAGATAATTACAATATTTTAATGAATCATATATCAACAACATTTTTCTTATTGATTTTCACACATATTTTCAAACGATCTATACTATTAATTAATCCATTCTTCAACTATTTAAGCTCATTATCCACCGTTACATACCATAAAAGGTGAAACCGCTTACTAACGCTAGTTACACAAGTAACTTATATTTATAAGTGAATTATATTAGTTATAATCAAAATTAAATAATTTTCTAATTATAAAACTTGATAATAATTCCAATAAATTGTATATGTAATTTAAGATTTATAATTAATAATTATGCTATGTTAATATTCCATAATAAGAAGCATTATACACTACAACATTATTGAAAAGTAATAAGATTTAAAAAATAATTTAGTATAATATTCATTTGAATTATTTATAATAATGTTCGTTACTTTACATATTTCAGAATGTGGTGTAGTTCCTTCAAAATCAAAACCACTCATTATAGGCGGTAATATTACTGAACTTTCTCAATTTCCATGGCATGCTACTTTATATCAACAGAAAACTTCAAACGGATCGAAAAATTTTATTTGCGGAGCAACGATAATAAAAGAAAACTTACTTCTGACCGCAGCACATTGCATTTACGATGAATCGAATCGAAAAATAGAAAATCCAAATAAATATTACGTAGCAACTGGAAACATTTATCGTGACTATGATTCTACTCTGCACAAAAAGCGATTCGTTAAAAAGGCCAGAGTATGCAAAAATACAATAGAAACAAATTTTTTTGTTCAAATAGAATTAATTATTTAACCCTCTATAAGCTTGTGTAACTTTCAGGTAACATGTTAATTTTTCATTATTTTACTAAATAATTTCAGTTTTTTAAATGAAATGGTATATACAGGGTGATTCACGAGCTACTCCTATCTAAATATAGTAGCTCCGAAAGTATGATAGCAGCAGAAAAGCGGATAACAAAAAACTGAATTGAAAAATTTAGAACTATAATATGACATTAGTATTTTTTTTACTAGGTTGTGTCATTTTAGAGATTTATTGGTAAACTTAGTTTTTTTAAATACAATGTTATACTTTATTACTTATTTTCGTTTAGCGGCTGACAAAACGAATCCAATGATGTGCAACATTAAATACAAAACCCAACAATGACCAATAAAAACTATTCGGAAAATATCTGTTCCGTCCGTGTTCGGAAAAACTAACAGATGGCACAACCCTAATGTGACCACGACGCGACCATGATGCGGAAGAGCTTTATTGCAGCCGGCTTGTTTGCAAGTTTTGATATTCGTTGACCTTAAGAATATTAATGTTGCACATCATTTGATTTGTTTTGACAGCCGCGCTATCCGAAAATAAGTATTAAAATATAACATTGTATTTAAAAAAGCAAAGTTGACCAATAAATCTCCAAAATAGCACAACTTAGCAAAGAAATATTAATGTCATATTGTAGTCTAGAATTTTTCATGCAACTTTCTTTTTATCCACTTTTCTGATACTATCATACTTTCAAAGCTATCTAGGTGGCAAGAACTGGTGAATCATCCTGTATATGGTATATCTTAACTTTATAATGTCTTCAAAAAAACTAATACTATATTCATGACGGTTGTTAGTATAATCAACATAAAATAACAAAAGTGCAACAGTTGTGCAAACTGTCTGCAGTATAAGTAAGCGAAGACTTTTTTTTCAATTTATATTATTTTCGTTTCTGTCGGTGTTTACCAAATAAAAAATTATGTATATAGTGGTTCAGAATTTAAATATCAATAAAAACGTATTTTTTTGTATTTCAAATATCTTTTTGTTATGATAATGTTCTGTTAATTTGAAGTAACAGTGGACCATAATGGAATCTTCTGTATTTTAGGATCACGCTTGTGTGTTTTCTCAAATGTTGGAATAAGTTTAAGAGTTCCTTACAGCGAGCAATTCCTAATCATTTTCATCCGTTTTTTTTGTACGGAAAAGATTCAAAGATATCTGAGAGATAAATTTGTACGGAAAAAATAGATAGTATAATATTTACTTAATTTATACCGGTTATAAATGCTAAGCTGTTATATAAATAAGACTGTTCATTGTATTCTGTAAGCCCCTGGAATCAATGTAACTTATTGACATTTACGATTGAAATTGCATCCTGTTTATGTCAGGAGTACAAAGGAATCCGTAAAAAAATCGTCCTTTTCCCACCAATATAGATAAACAACTATAAAGAAATATGGAAAAAAGACCAAGTACAGTACTTCCAATAAAAAACACGGGATAAGATGAAATAGCACATTGGCCAATTTTTCGGACAACAGAGGACGCTGCAAAGTGCAATATAAATTTATGTTTAACGTCAAGTGAAAACTGCTTCGTAGAATTTAACGCTTAAGTTTTTCTAGGCAGAAGTGAAAACATTATGGGCCGCTATTACCTGAAAATAATACAGTGAATTTATTGTAATATAATTGTTTAAACCGAACAATTTTTTTTCCATCTGCATATATATGAAAATAATTGTTGATTTTTAGTTCTAAATATTTTTTTTTATTTATAACAAAAATATTGCCCATAGAGGGTTAGCAAACAAAATTATTTATACTATGGTTATGCTTTAATTATAAAAAAGGTAATATAATTTTTTTTTTTAGGTGAAAGGCATTTATGTTCCTTGCAATTATTTAGGCTTTGAAGGAAATTATGCTTGGGACATAGCTATCTTGGAAATCGAAAGGCCATTTGTATTGTCATCTTCTCTATTACCGGCATGCTTAAATGGTGATTTAATTGAGTCAGGATTAGGTGTAGTTTCAGGATTCGGTAGAACCGCTGAAGGATCATCCAGTTTTGTTCTGCAATCTGTATCTTTGCCTTACGTTCCTCTTAGTCAATGCAAATCTTCAAAAAATTCAATCGAATCTGAAAAATTTATAACAATGGATAAATTTTGTGCTGGTTATACGAATGGTTGGTAACCAATTACAAAACCAATATGTGCAAATTTACATATTTAAAAATTATACCTACCAATAAATGTATGTATTTCAGGAACATCTGTCTGCGATGGTGACAGCGGAGGAGGATTAGTATTTCAAACTGGAAATTTATGGTTTTTAAGAGGTATCGTTAGTCTCTCTCTTGATGAAAAATTAACAGGTGGTACAAGAATTTGTGATAGTCATTCATATACTCTTTACACACGTATATCAACTCATATAAACTGGATCCAAGATACACTTTTTCAATTAGAAACATCTAAACCACTTCCCTCATGTCGTGACTCAACTATAGCAAATGTGACTTTTGTTAAACCTGATCAATTTATTCCAATTTCAACAAGTACTATAACATCTTCCTCATCGATTCAAAATACAACTGTTTGTACGGCACCTCCTGATCCTGCGAATGGTTATCGTTTATTGCACAAGTTGTATTGTCCCACACAAAAAGATTGTACTGTGAAGGAAGGAATAGAATTAGTCAGTGGTTCTCATTTAATTTACACATGTAATCAAGGATACGAATTAAGAGGTATCAGTGATGTATTATGTAGTCCAGAAGGAGAATGGTTAAATATTCCTGTTTGCACTGGTAAGATTTTCATTTTAAGTGTTATTATTAGGTTGTCCTGCAAGTTTCTTTCTCATCATGCTATGAATTGCTTTATCTTGCTCTGTTTTTGCAAACGTGCAACCTTATTTATTAGCCGTCTATATCATCGGTCTCAGTCATCCTTGAGCTGTTTTACAGTACGTTTTGTTTGTGAAATAGTCTGTTGTACAACTTTCATTCACTTGCAGTGTTAAACATGAGTAGAAAAGGCGACATTTACGGTATGTTATGCTTAATTCTTTCAAAAAAGGTAATAGTGTAAAGAATAGTGTCCACGATATTTGTACCGTATACGAGGATAGTGCTATAACTATTACAACTATTCGCAATTGGTTTAAAAGATTTAGAAAGAGAAATTTCAAACTTTTCGGTATGGGTGCCGGATATATCACACCCAATTAAATTATTAGCCGTCTAGTGTCTAATCATACATTAACTAATAATATGTAAACAGTAATTTTTGTTGTGTATATAATTTTGTATTTAATCTTGTATAATATAATCATATAATCAGTATATAATTTTTATAAATTTTACTTATATAATTTATAGAATTTTGTTTAACTATCTCTTAATATTAAAGTTACAAACAACATTAGGAAAAACGCATTGTTTTATTAAGAATAGATTTTAGATAAGGTTAGAAAAGTCTTCACACAAAGGACGATTGACCCTGTGCTATGTGCGCATTTTCGGCGCGGCACCTCGTACAGCGAGAGTGTCGTTTTAGAAAGAGCGTTCTTACCGAAAGGGTAAATCTGAAAGATGAAGACACTCAGCAGTCGCCCAATAACGATGGATACAGATTTTATTAAAACCATGCTTGATAAAATCATCGATATATGTGCGGGAGATAGTAAATGACACTAGGATTCCCAAAACAGTACATAATCACCTATTCAAGATGGGATATGTTAATCGCTGCGAAGTTTGGGTTCCTTACTTACTGAAAGACATTTCAATGCGAAATCACATATTACATTTTCGGTAAAAAAAGCTCTTACATTTTGATTGGGATTTTTTACCGCATCCTGCATACTCTCCAAAAAACCCTCCTTTTTGATTATTATTTCTTTCTATCCTTAAAAAATTCATTCTGTGATATGCGTTTAAAGGCAATCTGCGGAAAAATAACGCACCTCTAGGCTTATTTGTTGTCAAAAACATAACAATTTTGGATAAAAGGCATAATAAGGCTTTCTGAGAGATGAATAAAGGTAGTAAAGCAAAAGGGTTATTATATAACCAAGTAAATAATATCTTGAACGGTAAATATTGTGTATTCACTTCGTATTAGAAAAAAGAAAGAAACCTATGGGACAATCTAATATATTTCGCACGGAATATATTTCAATATTAATTTTTTTCAATCTTATGTTTTTGATATAATTTTTTTACAATTAATTTTTTTACGTAAATGTGATTATTTTAGAAATACGTTGTAAATCTTTGGCTTCCCAAACGAGATTTGCCGAATGTAAATATAACGACGAATGGACGTCTTGTGAAAGTGACGTTTTAGCTGGAACCATAACAAAAGTAAGTTGTAAACCAGGTTATAATAAATATTCTAGAGTACAAACGGATTACAGCATGGAGCTTGTTTGTAACAAAGGAGGTTATTGGTCAGAAGACCCGATGGAATGTTTCCCAAGAACATTAATAAATTGGTTGAACATAGCGGACCAGGAATCCAACTGGTAGTTTATGGTTTCTAAGAGGTATCATTAATATGCATCTTGGTGAAAAAGTGGTGCAATGATACAAGAACTTGTTATTTATATGCTCTCTATACAAGTATTTCCAATAATTTTTTCACGAAGTAATTTATAAATAATATACGATGATGTCTTCGTGCATAAAAGTATCAACTTTTTATCTTTAACGGTTGTAAGTCACCTATCAGGTGACAACAGTACTTTGTCGCTGCGGTCTTACGTTACGTTGTAGGTGACAACGAGTGAATTAAGAACCCATATTTACCAAAATCAGCTATAACCTAGTGAGAATCACGTATGAAAAGGTAGCAGCTGATAAGGGTTAATAATATTCAGTAATTATTTAATAAGTGTAATTTTACAAAAAAAAAGAAAGCATTGCAAATACGTTTCACAGAAAAATTGCATTTTAAAGAAATCCTATTTTTTGAATTCATCTTAATCAGTGTAATATTCAATGTAAAAAAAATACTATATTATTATTTGTTATAAAAATTAAAATAATTCATTAACTGATATAAGGTAGCACCCCCCTGTGAAGACCGAAATTTCAATGTTTTTTCATGAATTTTTTTAAATAGGAAAATAAAATGCGATCGTTTAAAAATTTTAATATGTTCTTATTAGTATCTTAAGCCATACAACATATTTTTTAAACCTAATTTGGGCAATATTTGTCCCTTTTTTTTAATGTCAAATTGGAGTCCCTCAAAATTATGTGTGCACCTTTGGGGAAGTACAGAGCCTTTTGTAGCCGTCTGAAACAAAAAAATCAAAATGCTTATTATTCTATAGGCTTAATTATAGACGTGATACCAACAATATGTATATTTAAAAAAAAAATGGCGGAGGTGTGACAAAATTTTTTCAAAATCGGTGTTTTTATTACCTTTTATTGTTTAAAAAAATATATTTATTATTCAAAAATTAAAGATTTTTGAGGTATCGCGTCTCAGAATATGTGTCAAAAATAACTGGTAAAAATTTTAGCCCAATCGGTTCAATAGTTTTTAATGAGCTCTTCCCCAAAATTTCAAAAACGTGGTTTCGAGAAAAACGCGTTTGAAGTTTTGACAACAGATTTTTTACAAAAAAATTATATTTACACTAATCTGCTATGCCTAGTGCATAGAGTAGTCCTTCAGCTTCCTCATAATTATCATTTTTAGCAGCTTTGAGAGCCCTATGTAAGGTTCTGGCCTTTTTAGAGTTAGCTTCTGTAGTTTTCTCCGCTCTCAAAATACGAGCATTATCAACGGTGTCGACGTAGTTTCTGGCTGCTTGACCAATGTATTTCACATATTTCACACCATAACGCTTCTCAGAACGCTTGAAAATTTCAGAAACACCATCGACCTCCATTTTGCCACTGCTACCCTCGTGATTTGCTATGCATTCATTTTTGTGATCTTCGTATAAACTCTCAGCTTCGATGGGGTCTTTTGTTGCTAAATACTGATATCTATCTATATATATATATATATCGAAAATTCTTATATTTATCGCTTATATGTTTTTCTTTCTTTTCTTTTTTTTACTTACTTCTTTTGCAAGCGAGGTGTCTGAGATCATGACACGTTTATGGTCCCGATACTGTAACAGCCAATTACGTGCAATTTTGGTTACGTCACTTCCGTTCTGGTATTTTTGAAGTTAAAAATGCACCTCGCATACGTTGCCTACGGCCATGCTGTAGGCCTCTGCACACGATGCCTATAGGCCGTGGCATCGTCCAAAAGCTAGACATAGATCAATTAATAGTTTTAAGCCTTTTACTTAAAGCTGAATTCAAAAAACAGCTCAAAGTTTGGATGCTAAACCAATTAACATAGAAATACATGATGGATCGAATTTCCTCCTGCGAAACCTTTGCTAGACGGAATGAAATCGACCCATTTTTTAAACAAATGGTGACTAGTGTTACGTCCTAGAGGACGAATTTAGATAAATAGTAATAGTAATGCCTGTTAATGGTCACTCTGCGTTCACGGAGTTTAACCGGGACCAGGCTGGTTCGTTCTCGTTTAAACAGTGATAAAATATGGCAAAATGTGTACGGTAAAGGGGGTGGATTGAGGAAGGTTTGATGCAAGGGAGAAAATTTGGTAACCGCAGCTCTGATTTATTAATAATTTTAATGAAAATAAAGATGATTTGTAACTTACAGTTTGTTGTACAGTGGTAGGTTGTTCTCGAGATTGTGCAGGAGGCTTGGGGCTGCTTCTTTCCAATGGAAGGTCGAACAACACAATGATTCGAAAAGTGAATTATTTATTGTAGACTAATCAATAGAATTGAATAATGTTCGATATGAATAGCTGAAGCGCTAGTAGTGAATGCGAAGTTTACTGGATAAGTATAAGTAATAACTGAACTATAAATGACTAATATGAAATAACTAAAAAATAACTGACCGGAACGGTAAGTGAGTAAAACTGAAGTGAAAACTATAATTTGAAGTAAAAACGTAAGTGAAAGAAAAACTATAAGTGAGTGAAAAACTATAAGTTGAAGTAAAAACTGGAGTGCCGGAAAAACTATAAGTGAAGTAAAATACTGAAGTGAGTGCGGGGGCGATGTCCTCTGGCTTTTATATCCCCCAAAAAGTCCTTCGTGGAAGGAGTAGCTCTAGTACCCCCACTCTTTGTCTTTAGCTGGCCCAAGCTTCCTGTGCATCCCCGTTCGAGAAGATTCTTACTTTCTTGTGGACTACTAATACATGCTTACATGCTGATAACATTCTTATATATTTTAGATTAACATTCATGGATTTCTATCTTTCTCATATTTATCATATATCTTTAGTCAATTACACTTTGCCTTTTATTACTCGATTACATTTCGTCAATTCCTAATCAATAACATTTTATTATCCTTCGAACGATTCTGTTTCATTATCCTTTAATCAATTATATACTTAATACAATTCTACGTTGAGATCATTTATTCATCATTCTAGGATACCTTTAAGTTTACATATTTAGTCATGCATTTGATCATACGGGTAGTTCCGCGAGTTTCATTGTCTTGGGCGAAATTTGTTAAGAACTATCTTTGGTTCTGGAATGTTCCAAAGTAATATTTTCATTAGGCCTACGTGACTTTTGCCGGCTTTCGGCTGCAAGGGTTAAGGGCGGAAATAGAGGTCCGGGCCTTATTATTTATGACTTGTTCTATTTTTTCAGTTGCGCATCGGTAGGGATGTTCTCCGAGATTTTGGTTTCTGTTTTATCGCTAAGTCCATATGGGTAAGCATTGGCGGAGGTTCTGATTTTCTACATGAAGGGTGAACATATCTACTAAGGATTTTATATTGGAAATGTGTTCCTACGCCTATGCTTTGGTAGGGTTTTATGGGAGTTGCCGTGGTCCTTACGTGAGAGAATAGGAGAACATTGACGGACTATTGGAAGTTATAAGTTTATGAATTTATTTCTTCTTTCCTGTGTTCTTCTATTCTCCCGATTCCGATGCCGAAAGGCGAGGTAAAGGATGTGGTCCATATGGTGTTTAGGAGATAGTGTCTGAGGGATGATTTATAGCTCCCGTATGTGTCTCGCGAGAAACAATTCTTCCAATAGTGCATTTCAATGTAAAGAATGAATATTAAGCAATGCAAGAAATGATTATTCTCTTATGCGTACTACTTATAATTGTTTTTATTGTTATTCATGCAAACTACTGGAATAATGTCTCGCGCAACTGGATTTATATTACTACGAAAAATTTGGGTGGGCGAATCGTGGCGGAACGTCACACTTGAGATAAGGAATGGATCACATACGACAACATTATGCGAAAACGATCATGGTCAAAGCGCGATGAATCAGTTCCAACGGTTCTGCTATGCATGTGGTGGAACTGGAAAGGAATTATTTATAATGAGTTGCTTAAATATGGACCAAACACTAAATTCGGATCTCTACATTAAACAACTGGACCGTTTAAAGCTAGCGATTGACCTAAAACAACCGGAATTGGCCAACAGGAGAGATTTTGTGTTACATCAGAATAACGCAAGGCCACACACATCTATAGTTACTCTCCAGAATCTCCAGGAGCTTGGTTGGAAAGTTTAGATACAACCACCATATAGTCCAGACCTTACACTAAGCGATTACCATCTTTTTCTTGCATTGCAAAACTTCCTTAGTGATAAAGAATTGGCAGTTAAAGAAAGATTGTAAAAATCGATCACTAGAGATTTTCGTCAATAGAGACCAAGGCTTTTATGAGAGAGGCATTATGATTCTACCTTTAAAATGGCAACAAATTAACGAACAAAACGGTGCAAGTTTGACCAAAATCAAGCAATCCAAAACATGTTAAATAAAGGCTTGATGATAACGTAAAAATAATGGATTTCTTTTAAAAAAATATAATAACGACGAGTATTCTATTGTTTCTACTGTTTTATTATGATTAAATGATTAGAAAAAACTTTTAAAGTCAAGGGAGTATTTAGTCTAAAGCGATTACTTCGGATTGTTGTCATTCTTTTATAGTCACTGTCGAAGGCAGTTGAATAAATGTGTACACGTAAGTGTTCAGTCCGTTGATGACGTTATACAATGTTTCCGTCTTGCGTAATCTCATGTCAATTGGAATAAAAAGGATTGAAACTGGAATCGGTGCAGGTTCAGGAGAGTTAACCAGTTAACTGTGTTTGACGGGCGTATTCGTTAAGAAGAAGTGACACGATTTTGTGTCATGACGAGTACGATCGTCATGGGTATAACGTAGAGACCATTAGCTATTTAAATAGTAGTTTTTGTGAAAAACGAAGCATATTCTTAAATCTCAAAAAGTTTAGAATATTTGAGGCCAGGCCGGGATAAAAGAGATAAATAAAAAATATGAAAAATTTCAGTTAAACTTATGCTTCCTTGCACGTACCGACTGAAACAGCCTAATTACTTCGCATAACAAATTTGTTTAAATCTTTCAATACAGGAATTTTAACGGTCTCACTAAAGTTCATAGATATCAATAAACATTAGTGTAAGTATCGGATAGTAGAGCCTTTTATAAGCAGTTATATTTGGAAATAGATAAATTTATTAAGTTCAGTTTAACAAAACACATGAAAAAATATTGCATCACAAAGATAAGTTTATTTTATAAAATTACCAATTTTATTACTAATATTTCCTTATTAATGTAACATAATTAACGAAAAACGCAAAAATAATACATATAAAGTAAAAAATTAAAATTCCTGTTTTGAGGTAGTAATAGTTCGTTGAATTCGTATTAATACGGGTTATAATACTGTAAGGTTAAAAATATAAGATGCTATTTAAAAAAAATAAAGGAGCTTTAAAAAACATTAAAAAAAATTTTATTTACCTGGTTTTTATTGCATTGTATAGTCAATCAAAAAGATCAACTTTTATTTAAAGTATTTTTTTGTAAGTTTATCGCAAATACTTGAAAAATCGTGAAAAGAGTTATATAGGACACCCCAGCAACACTTACTCTGTGCTTAACGAATATACTCGTAATCGGACGATTTGTGCGATGCACAGCGATTAAATTACACGGTAAATTTAATCTTCAGGACACGTGTACCACCGCTGGTACATTTATGTTAGACATATCTATTTAATTTGCTGAAAATCAAATGACCTAAATGACAAATCAGGCAAAAAGGGTTTGGCACGGAAAACGTTAAATATTGGTCTTATTTTTACACGTAAAAAATCTTTTAAAACGATTAAACTATGATTATTGGTTATTTATTTATAAAATTCTATCACTAACTATAGAGTCGTGCAGTCTTATGAGATATTATTGTTTATTTATTTCTAGAAATTCAAATTAATTCTGTTAATAACGATTCTTTCTATAGAAACAAATATATACAAACGTACGATCTATTTATACTTATTTCGATTTGTATTATTTCAAAATCATCTTAGATCTCAACCAAATAAGAAGAAATTGATAATTAAGCAAAGGTTAAAGGTATACATATAGAAAGTTATTTGAGTATTTGGATAGTAAGATTCGCTTATATCGCTAAGTTTTATGTTCTCTGTAGAATATCTTTGAAAATGAGTTTGAAATTAAATATTTTTTTGTACAAAAAATGTAGAGAAAGTTTAAAGAGGGCAAAGTGTTAAACATATTGTAGAATACCTCTGGTACTTGGATTATTTTCGATATCCTGACGTATGTCGTGAGACAGTTGAATATTGGTTTGGTTTTTTCAATCTTTTTGATGATTATATTTTTATACATTTCCATTAACCAAAGTGAGAACTAAAGAACGTATAACGTTTTTATCGGCAATAGTAAAAAAATATCCTTCCTTGACGTTATGTCACTTTGAGGATGCTTTAAAAGTTCAAAGACGCTGTTTATATAGATATATCGTACAACTTGGCTACATTTTTAACCGAGGAGAATGGGTTAAGATTCAGTAAAAAGATAATTATTTATATCAAATAACGTGTATGATTTGAATTCTTAGTGAAAAATAAAAACATTTCTTAAAAATATTAGTAAGGGTGAATAAGAAATCTGCATTTAAATTTAAAATAATTATTATATGAATGAGTCATTTTGTACCACAATAAATTTTTTTAACTAACTAAAGAAGACATTGTATGAAATGAAAAGAAAATGATTAAACTTGTTTTCCATTTTTTACATTATTTATGTTAATAATAAATGAAAGATTTTACGACGATGAAATGATTTGGAAATCAATAAACATACCAGAAAATAATCAAAACTTTTTCCTCCATTAACAAATTTTAATTAACTCAGTGTACACTTATGCATGTTTCATTGTTCTTAAAGATAATAATGTATCATATAAATACAACTTCATTTTATTAAATACCATAAAGATTGAATGGAAGCCTAGAGGCTTCAGACTAATAAATATTTTGGGAATTTTTAAATGAATAACAATTAACACTTATAAAATTAAATAAAAATGTACACCGCCGTTTATATTTGAAAAGAAAAACTAAAATTACAAATTTTTGTGAGTTTAATAGTGACTTAAACATAATTTTCTTAAATTACATATTCTTTGAATTTTTAGAAAAGTTTTATGTGCATCCTTTTTGTAAAATAATTATTTTTACAGCAAAAGGATATTTTGTCACAATAAATATATAAAAAAGCATGAATAGCAAACAACTTAGATTTTATAGAGATTATGAATATTTCTGAAAATTAGTGTTATTTTATTTAAATATTTAATAATTTAAAAAAGAAATATTTCATCAAAGTGTACAAATAGTGTGTTATTAACAATAATTTATACCATTTATAACTTATGGATATATCATCTGTTTTATGATTAATAACCGCAAAATAGAATTTACTAGACAATTTAAAAAGATGTTTAAGATTATGCCTGAAATGTTTAAATTTAAACAATTGAATTATTAAATATATTGTACTAATGGAAAGATTTCTAAGACAGCAAATATATACAAAATTAGTAATTGTATTATTAAATTAATTACGAAACACATAACAAACGTTATTAAATTACGCAATGTCAAAAACTTGATTAGTGTATATTTTTTATATAGGACAAATATGTATCGACAATTTTAAAATCCGGATTCATTCCACTAAAAGCCTTTCTATATTTAGATAAAAATAATTATTTTTAGACTATATCAACATACCTACAATTTACAATGCTAAAAAATTCTTTTTATAACAAGAATGTTAATTATATCAACTAATCAGCTTGTTAACAGATATAAACAATTTACTGTTTAAAAAAGAAAACACTAATAATAATTATAAAAATACTCATAATAAATAATTGTTATTTTGAATTTTGTTAATAATATGGTCCCTATGTAATTAATTTAATATATTCTAAAAATAAAGAAATTTCAGATTACACAAGTTAGAAATGAAACCTTCAAAAAAAAAAGTTTAAAGACGAATGCACTTTATCAGAAGTAAGCTAATCGTAAGGTTTATTTCTTATAATAATGCTGTCGCATATATAACAAAGGGCACCGGTATGATCTTGGGATGGGGGTAGCTGCCAAAAACTGCCACTTTCCAAATTCTCGTAATTAAGATAGAATGCCGAATGCGATAGATATAGATAAACACGAAAATCGTAGAATGTTCTTAAGGCCGGCGGTACATGTAAACGCCTAAATCTTGACTGTTTTTCAAAGGTTTATTTAAAATGGAAGAAATAAATGAATCGTTTTGAAACTCAGCTTGTATATTCATTACATATTAATATATAAGAATCTGATTTTTTTTTTCAAAATGGCAGCCGTTTAACTAATCTCCTGAGGCCCTCGCGGCGAAAGGCATCAATCAACGTGATTTTTAGCTTTAGTTACAGCAATTTAAAATTAAAAAAAGGGTCGGAGCGTGTTCATAAAAAAAGTATCTTCTAGTTGAACAAAGGAAAAACTAAAAAGTCAAAAAATCGTAAATTGGCACGACTCAGATAAAAAAGTCTGATTTTTAACCCTTTTTTTACACGGTTTTTTGGTCAAAAATGGTATTTTTGAAAATTTTTGTGACATTCTTAAAGTTCAACTAGAAGCTAATACTATAAAGAGAATGTGTGCTAAATTTCATAAAAATCGGTTGAAACCTTTTTGAGTTATCTTGCACCACAGTTTGAAAAAAGTCGTTTCGAGAAAAACACGTTCAAAGTTTAGCGTTCGCGTTTAGCGCCGAGTTGAGGCGTAGCATTTAAATGAATTTTTAATCGATAAATAATTGAAATTTCACTCTAAATATTTACAGGCATATTTTTACGATGGTAAATTAACTATTTATGAAAAAAAAAATTCAATTTTTATTTTATTTTACATGTATCGCCGGCCTTAAGCAACTTATGAAGATCTATCAATTATCTTCATTCTATAAACAGCCTTGTGTGTAGCATAACAACGGCCTTCAAACTCTTTTACTCTGGTCTGCACAGGCCAGGTCGTAACAATACATATATCTATAGGATTTAGCCTGCGTGAAAAAGAGATAGAAGACAGTGTACTTTTATTTCTTATTATTTTGGTCCTACTCTTTATGCTGTGCTTCATTGTCTCCCAACTCTTGTCTATTAAGCGTTGTACAATGTGTGCTTGTGTATGCTTGAATATTCTCTAGTCTGAATCAATTAGTTTTTTGACTGGACATTAGATAGCAAGTACCATTTGCCGTTTCTCACAAGAAAAACTATATTATTGTCTATATGTAAGTTTCAAGCACTAGTTCAATCCATGCAAATTAGAATTTTGCATTTGATGAAGTGCTACCTTTGATTAGGCAACTGAAAAAAAACCTAAAATAATAAATATGCAGCAGTCGCATTAAATTTACAACAAAAGAAAAACCAGACATTAACGTTGTATTTTAAAAGTATATTGTTCAAGTCCAAAGTAAATAATTTATTTCATACAATTAGGGTGACCATATGGCACTCGTATCCTTAGTAAAAAATTAGAAAATGGAGTCTGTATAAAATGTCAAGTAGTATATGCAAAATAAAATGTAAAATAATTTTTAAACTTGATAACAATATTATAATAAATAAATCCATTAGTTATCTAACTCCTGATACTCTGCATTCGTCTCATTTCCTCGAAGATTGGTTTTTTGAACATTTTACTTCTAAAGTGTATTATATGCCCATATCTGTTATTTTTTGTTTGTTTCTTTTACCTAAGTATTTTGCTCGCCAAAGGTAATATAAATATATCGATAAACTAAAGAAATAGAAGTAAAAAAGTAAAAAAAAATAAACAAAATTTAAATCATCTAACATCCATATAAGAATAATTCCATTTGCAAGCATCTGTATGGATTATAATTTTGTCACTCAATACTGTGATTAATTGACAAGAAGGGTTACTTCTCTCACTATAAATTTGAAATGTTATTTTGCCAACCTCAACAAAAATATTAGTAAACATCGTAATTGGTAAACACTGTTGTGGTGCCCATTGACCTGTATTGTCACATATAACTTGAACTCCTTGTTTCGATTGAAAATTATCAACTTCTTGATGATTGTCATGACAACTCAATTCTGCAGTGGTTCCAGACAAAATAGAAGATTCGCAAGTCACTCGTTGTCTGTTTAACTTACAATCAGCTGCTCTTGATGCTGAAGCTAATGGTTGGCAATCTATTTCTAAGATGATCATTTAGAAATCATTTAGGAATTAATTGAAAATAATAAAAAAACCATTGTATATCACGTTGACTGCCATGTCAGCCATATATAGCTGATGATAAAAATTCTGAACAGGCCTCGTCGGCCATATTTGGTTGATGTTTATTTTAATGTTTACAGGGTAAATTAGTATAAATTTTAAAAGATATCTAATAGAATATGAGATTACTAAATTTTTATAAAAGTAAACTAAAAATAATTTGAATTTTTAATATAAATTTATTTAAAAAATTATTTACAATAAAATGCTTTGAAACAGTCTATTATACAAAGTTGGAGTTGATCAAGTTAATCTGGGCAAAACGTTGTTGTTCTTTTTATATTTTTTTGTTCCTTTGATCGGTCCATTTAGTCTTTTATACGAATAACATAATTTTTTGTCAAAGAGCAGTTTTTTTAGAAGGCAATATTATGACTACGTTGATCTGAAAATTTATTTATATTATCTGTCAGAGTTCTAATAATTTCAGAGCTATAATAATATTTCTCTAAAATTTCTAATATTTTCTAAAATTTTTAATATTATTCCTTCTTGAAAAAATGTTTTCAACTAAATACATGTCGTGAAACATTTCGTTCTAAACGTTTATATCTTTTGTTACAAAAAAATTAAAAACAAAAACTCCTTAATAATCTTCCATAAAAGATTGCACTAACCATAGGAAACAAATTTCTTTTTAAATGCAATAATGTCTTACTACAATGAGTGACTATCGACACAGTATCATTATATATCGGGACTGTTGTGTAGCGAAGTATAACAGCACGTATGGGCCTGATGGAAATTTCCTTGAAAACTAGCGTTACCAGTCAACGTGATGTACACATGACATATATTTTGTCGTATTAACCCATTACCCGCCAATAGCTTTTTTTTTGAACATTTTTCCAAGTTTTTTTTTTGAAGTGAAAACTTCTTTAAAATGGGGGTGATTTGAAAACGGAAACGATGAAAAAGCGACAGGTGGCGATAAACAATACAAACAAACTCGATGAAACGGAAAAAACGGAATTTTCGTATTGTGACTAGTAATGGGTTAAATTTTAAATCTTACCATTAAAAACTGGAATATTTGACCAGTTTCCTTCTTCATCACAAAATACGTCACTGGTATCGTTTAAAACGTATTCATAATTACAGCTATAAACTAACTGAGACATGATTGGTAATTTGTTACCCTCCTGCACGTCGCAATTGCTTTGTTGCAATTGGCATTGCAACTTATATAATTGCAGATAACCATTTGCTGTCTGGGGAGGTACCGTACAAACATATTCTTGTACTGTCACATTTGAAGCGAGTATGAACATTGAGAAATCTGTGAAACGAAACAATTGTTTAACTATTTGATCATTTGTCAATTACGTTTCCTACAAGAATCATACGAAGTAAAAAATAAAATCATTTTTAAAATAACAAAATTAGTTTACTATCAGTTAGTAAATTAACGCGTAATTTACGAGTTCAACGTTACTGTTTGCAATTGATCTTATCATGACATTTGTTTCCATCATTCAAGAAAGTTCAAAGACGTTTTATAATTTTGTATAGAACTGGTTTTTGATTTCTTGTAACGAGAAACGTCCCATATTGGTACATTAAATCATTTATTGATCTTTTATGTAATAGAAATAATATGTTCCTTAATCTACGAAAAATACTTTTAATTTTTATGAGGAGAAAAAGAATTTTCTTTTGTATACACGTATAACAATAGTTAGATTCTATATATTACTAGATGTTATTTAAACAAATTATATATATTAGGATGCTTTGGCAATGCTTTGCTGTAGCTTTGCTATAAAACGTTGATTTAATATAATTCTAAAATATTAAATGTATACAAAAAATAATACTACAATTAAAATAGAATACATGAAATAATAATACACGAAAATATATTAAAAGCAAGGTTAGTTATGTCATAAGTAATTCTGGAAAAAATGTGTAATATATTATAATTATTGTAATACAACGACATCTATTAAAAACTTAAAGTATTTAAAGACATAGATAAATTTTAAATAATAAATCCTTAAATTAGCAATGCATAATAAAAATAACAGCGATAAAAACTATCCTATATACAAAGATGAAAAAGATCACATAAAATAAAAAAAATCATGTGTGCAGATCACACGTTTTAGAAGTGAGACCTTCAAAAATCTAAGTTTCGAGAGAATGAGACGAATGGACAGTTTTAAGAGTAAGATAATTGTAGGATTTATTTATTATAATATTATTACTATATATAATAAAAGTAACCGGTGTGGTCTCTGGGTGTAATAGCTGATAAAAAGTGCACTTCTTACAATTCAAGCAATAAAAACGGAATGCGGAATGCGATAGTTATAAATAATCACCAAAATGGTAGGATGTTTATCAAAGGAAATATAATTCGTCAGAAATTAGGTAAAAATAAATAATCCTTTTTTTAAAACTTAGGTATAAAATTTTTTTTGTTAGTATGGTTTTCTATTTCCCGTTTTCATCTACATTTTTGCGTTATATAACAAACATTTGAGGATAGATGAAATAAAGACGTTACGAAAAACATATGGAAAATACTGCTGGACTGAACGAAGGTTCTGGTAAAATGCAATGAAAGATCTAATAAAGATATTCTCTAGAAATGTTTTTTCAACTCTGTAGCCTACCACACTTCGAGACCCTTATTATTTATAACATATCTCTTCCTTATTCTTTGGACCACAAACTTATCTTTTTATATACTCTCGTCTAAATAAAGATCTAAACAATGAAAAATCTAAAAAATTCATTGAATCGTATCGCTGTGTTGCAACTAATAACTGTAGATGCTGTTAAAGAAGGGAGCAATTGTGGTCGTATTTTTTTTGTTCCATCGGGTTTTGAATTACAACGATTTTAAAATCTATTTTTATTCTCGTTGTTTTATTTTATATTATTAAAAATTAAAAAAAAAAATTTTTTTCTAAATTTTTTTCTATATTTGTAAAATAAGTTATATTATTATATTCTTATTGGAAATATAAAGTAATTAAGGTTTATTTGTTTTTGTAACGTGTCTAGTCTCGTGTATTTAAAAATTTTTCTATTTTATTGAAAAATTAGTATAAATTTCTTAAATACGCAAACATTATAATTAAGAAACATGTCTTTGGATATTTATAAGAAAAATATTCTACAATGTTGTTTAATTTTTTTCCTCTGATGTATCTGATAATCCTTTCATTTTTTTGTAAAATATTGCAGACAATACAATTATTATATTCTATGTATGTCATAATTATTAATTATAATATTCGCGAAATAAAGAATTTAATATTAATTTTTCAATAAAATAGAAACATTTTTAAATAGAAAAGAAATGACACGTTTGGTAAAATAAAAACAGACCACGCACCTTCTTTATTTATTTCGACTGTCGGTTGGTTTGGACCTTATATTTTTGTCGCATACCTACGTGCTTATCTCTGTTTATTCTTGTACCCTTCTATCGCTCTTACCTACAAGCAGGTATAGTATCGAAATTATTGTATATGTGTCCACGCTTTGTAGTATGCAGTCGCACCAAAACACACACATATACAACCAGGAGCGATAACTACGAAGTATAGCATAAAGAGGAGACCGAGAATAGGAAAAACTGTATAGCTATATTCCGTCTCATTCTCTCGCAGGCTAAATCAAATATGTTTGTCTCTTTTTTTCTCATTATTTAGTATAGCAGCCGTTTCATAGCTTCGTTACATAGCTCTGTTTCCGTTTATTTACTTTTCAGATCACTCCCAGTCTAAAGAAGTTTTCACTTCCAAAAAATTTTATTAGGATCGGTTCAATAATTTCGGAATTATTAGTGGATAACCATTGTGACACTTAATTTTTATATATAAAGATATATATGGAGTATTTCACGTAAACTAGACAACTTTTGACCCCGATACTTTTTGATTTTGATTAAACTTTTTTATCATTTTAAGCTTCATTAAAAAACTTTTTGAGAATTTTTTCAGATTTTTTTGCTCAATTGTAGCAGATTAACAGCAAGTTGTAAGATCTATTGCAAGCTTAGCGGGTTTTTGAGAGGTTGCAAATCGTAAAAGGATTAATTGCAAATTGTATAATAAAGAGTATATCTTTTGTATTTTAAACGGCTTTGGCAACACGGGGAAATTAGATATCCCTAACCGGATAGAGAACAATTGATTCTCCTATATACATTGTATATATTATATGTAAACTATATATATGAATTATAAAATATCTTGAAAATAAATGTACATATTTCGAAGATAAAAATTTTCTTCTAAATAAAGTTATAAGTGACGCTTGGGTTTTCCAATGTTTGATAACCTTTCTTTAGAATGATTACAGAGGTTATTGTAACGTTATCGCGAATAAATATATATAGGCTTATCTCAACTTTATAATTTAATATTTAAAACATTGAAATAAAAATGCATAAAGAAAAATAATCATATTATTTAGCAAAGAATAAAAATTAACTAAAAAACTTATTTATATATTTTATTATATAATATTATAAAATATTATATATTATTATTATATAATACTTATAGTGTTATAATCCTGTAAAATTTCGATGAAAAGATGAATATTATAGATACATTTTAAATTAATGTTTATACTTTATAAAACTAATTTAGTTGTGAATATATCAATTTTTATGCACAAATTAAATTATGATTTTTCTATTTAAAGAAATGCAACCTATATGAAATCGTGGAAATATATATATATATATATATATATATATATTTAATATTTTTCTGAAAAGAAGAAAAATGCATTCAAAAGATTTTTTTAGAAAACCCATAAAGTTGAAAACATCTAGTCCTTCCCTCTCTCCTATCCTTTTAAATATAACATTTAGTAAATATGGGTAGCAGTGGAGCTTCTGTCTAAATTTAATATCCTTTTCATTTTCAATCGTAATAGAAAATGTAATAGAAATAAGTACATTTTTCTAATAATAAGAGAGATCTAATAGTTAAAAGAATTTTTTTTCAAAGTTATGTAGAATATATATAGATATAATAAAACGAATGTTATAATGATATTTATACAGTATCCGAAACAACGAATTAAAATGACTTAACCGAATCTATATCATTGAGATATATTTTTCCTCGTTTTATTCGCATGTGAAGATAATTACTTTATTCGTCTATAATATGTCTATTATTTCTATTTATTATAATACGAAAAAATAATTCATACGAAACTTTCTCTCATGACATGAAAAGGAGTATATGAGTATAATGCCTATTTCTTTTACTTAAGCAAAAACGTAGAGGAAATTTCAAGGACAACTATTTTATAATATGAAAATTATCACATATAGTATAAAAAATTGTAAAAATCTTTTAAAAATAAATATAAAATAATATAATCAAATTCTATTACTTACAATCAAATAAAATTAAGAGTAATCCTTTTCTATTCATGATATTCATAATAATTTACAGAAAAAAATATAAAATTAACATTTAAATTAAAATAAAATTCAACGAGAGTGGCGTATCGTGTAGTTTACCATCAACTCAGACTCACTACAGATAGCACAACGGTCCAGTAACAGACGCTTAAGCAGTTTTATATGTTTACAATGTATTATATACGTGATATCAATTTGTTCCGATATTAGGTTAAAAGTCAGGATTTTTTATCTTTGAAATGCATATCATCAAATTATTACACACACTATTACATAGTATTATATCATCCACGCTATATGCATGAGCTACGTATAACAAGAACTACGTTATGTAGACTAAGCTCAGACATTTTTCAAACTATACAAAAAAGCAGGGTTTTATAAGAATTATGCGTTGCACCCTATGTGTAAGAACATACAATCAATTGTTTTCGAGAAAACGATGGTAAAAGTTTCCCAAACATCCATTTAAGCCAAATTATTTTACATGTTTCTAATTTTATTATGAGCTATTTGCAACGTAACGAATACAATCGCGATCTCGTATTAAAATTTCTTTAGAATGGGGGTGATTTGAAAAAATGTAAAGTGGCGGTGTAAGGAGGCGATGAAACTCAGCGATAAAACGGCCACGATACTAAGTAAGAAGAAAAAAAAGACAAACATATGAGATTAGGCCTGTAAGAGAATGCGACAGAATATAGCTATAAAGTTTTGAAGAGAAAACTTCTTTAGAATACGGAGTGATTTGAAAAATTGAAACACGGCGGCGATGCAACGGAGCAGCGGGCGGATACGTAACCGCCACGATATTTAGTAAGAAGAGAAAAAGTGACAAAAACAAATATTATTTGCTATTATATATCTAATAAAAAAACAATAATGTAACTTATTTTAAATATATAGAAAAAAATTTAGAAAAAAATTTTTTTTTTTAATTTTTAATATTATAAAACAAAACAACGAAAATGAAAAATAGATTTGAAAATCGTTGTAATTCAAAACCGATAAAACGAAAAAAATGCGGCCACAATTGTTCCCTTCTTTAACATCATCTACAGGCATTAGTGGCAACCAAAAAAGAAATACTTATATGTGCTAACCCATGATAAAGATATCTCAAATTCACAGAAAGTGTGAGAAGTGTAAGAGAAAAAATTCATCTACCTGAGTTTCAAAAAAAAAAAATTATATTTACTTTGTTTAGAGGACGGCGTATCTTTCTGTCGATAAATATTCTACAATTTTTGTTTTTATCTATGGCTATCGCATTCAGCATTCTATCTTGATGGATAAAATTTTGAAAATATTAGTTTTTGTAAGCTACCTACACCCCAAGGCTGGTTCCTTTTCATGAGAACAGAATTATAAAAAACAGGGAAGGTCTATTGAAATTCTATCTATATATATTATCTTTATTATCGATGCGATAATATTCATGCCTATAGTTTTTTTTAACAAAACATGTCATATCTTTTCTATTTAAAAATGTTTTTATTTTATTGAAAAATTAGTATTAAATTCTTTATTTTTGCAATTGAAAAAACATTTCTAGAGAATATCTCTATTAGATCTCTCATTGCATTTTACCAGAACCTTCGTTCAGTCCAATTCAGTATTTTCCATATGTTTTTCGTAATGTCTTTCATTCGTTTATTCTAAAATGTTTGTTATACAGCGCAAGAATGTAAATGAAAACGGGAAATTGAAAACCATACTAACAAAAAAAATGTTATACCTGAGTTTCAAAAAAAGGATTATTTATATTTACTTAATTTCTGACGAATTATATTTCCTTTGATAAACATCCTACGATTTTGATGTCTATTTATATCTATCGCATTCAGCATTCCGTTTTTATTGCTTGAATTTGGAAAAGTACACTTTTTATCAGCTATTCTACCCAGAGACCATACTGGTGACCTTTATTATATATGGTAATAATATAATAATAAAAAAATCCTACAATTATTTTACTCTTGAAACTATGCATTTGTCTCATTCTCTCTCTTAGATTTTTGAAGGTTTTACTTTTAACACGTGTGATCTGTTTTTTTCATAAATGTCAAGATATCTCAAGTTCTACTAAACTGATTTACTTGAAATTTGGTGAGAGTCTTCTATATGAATTACTCTATCGTGCAAATTAAAATCTTATAAAATTTTTAATTTTTACTATTTTTAAAATATTCGGGAAAGTAAAAAAAGTGGTAAAAATAATATATTTTGTTTAAACAGCTGTAATTTAGTCAAAAAAAAAAAAACTTTTTCAATTCTTTTAGTTCGAACAATAGCGGCATTATTCTAAATTAATAATTCGTTTCAATTTTTTATTTCGGATTACCAGGAGAGCTACAATCTTGACATTTGTCGCGCGTTGTTTTTTTGGGACACTCCAACTCATCAGCCTATATCTTTTTCAATTTTGAAGTTTTTAACTATTTTTTTTTCCCATGTATTCTCGAAATATTAATGAATATCTTGTAACATTATAAATACTAAAAATATTATTCGTCTTTTTGTTATTACATTTGAGAAAGTACCTAAAATTAATGCCTCTAGGCCAGAATACCCCCTTAATTAACCACGAACGCTTTTTTTTCGATGAAATGATATCGCCTTCAATTTCAGAACGTTTTTCTTCATTTAAATTTCCTGCGTCTTCTTCCCTCTTTACAAAATCTGTAATTTTATTTTGCTCGCTTATAACTTATAGGGATTCTTATAATTTTTTAAATGTTAAATTAATAACTTAACAATCTTCAGCAGTGCTAGAGTCATCAGGATCAATTTGATTTACATCTTCGGATGCCATTTCCATCAAATTTGCTTCGTCAACTTCTTCTTCCACTAATAAAAATTGAACATTTTTAAGATTCATATTCACAAGAACTTCACTTTCGCTTAATTCAGCAAGTTCTAATGTGTCATTAACTTCATTTTGTGACGATTCATGCACGTTTTCTATTTCAACTGAAGATTCTTTCAATATAAACGTTCTATTAGACATTTTTTGTCACCAAACCATAGTTTCGACGGCATGGAAAACCTGATCTTCTGTGTATTCTTCCTCTTCTATAATCTTTTCAATATTTTCTGAATACGTCCTAGCGGCTTTATGATCAGTTGACACATATTCTCTTTCAACTTTTCTACAATCAATTGCATAACACTTTTTGAATCTTGGGAGCCAACAGTTACTAGCCACAAAATCTGTACTGACAGAAGATTCCCCAAATTCTTGAAGATTTTTGCAAATCTCGAGTGTTTTTTGTTTAATTCTATTATTTTTCAATGGAATTCTTTTTTCCCAGCAATCATTAATCCAAGCTTCGAGTTCCTTTTCCATCTTCTCAATTATTAGCGGCCTTGTACGAGATCCGGATAGTAAAGATCCTGCAGCAACTTCTTATCTCTTTTTATTTGTCCTAACATACCAGACTGTTGATATACTCAAATTCAGTCTTTTTGCAATGTCAGATACTTTTTCTTTTTTTAAAAGACGATTCAAGATTTGTATCTTGATTTCTAAAGAGATAGAAGTCCTTTTCTTCCTTATAATTATTTTTTTATCTTTATCGGACATGACTTGGGACTGGAACTTAATGTCGTAAAGATGAAAAAGTTATTCTTTAAAACACCGTGGCTCAACGCAGTCTGCCGACCAGCGCATGAGAAACTTTTTAGTAGAAGAGCTGAGTAGCAAAAAAAATGCAACAGTTTTATAAAAGCTGATATTTCGATATTATGTAGTATTTAGGGTGTATAGCAATAGCCTGCCGTCAGTCAGCCAGTTTCGTTAGCGATTAGCGGGGGGACGGTTTCAAATTTGTGAAAAAACCATGTATGTTGCAACAGTTATCTAAAATCTCAAAATTGGTTTCTGAATAGTGAATTAACTAAAAAATGATGTGGATACCGTCAGTCCTCAAAATATCGTAACGGGACACGTCAGCAGCGCGTCAAAGTTGTGAAAAAACCATGTATGTCGCAACAGTTTTCTAAAATGTTAAATTTGGTATACAAGTTTATAATAATAGGAAAAATCAAAAAAACATTGTCAGCTTGAATTTTTATTTAACATACGCTGTCAGCGGTCGATACAACAACGCGCCGCGCATCATTTATAGTCCGAGAGCTGAGTCGAGCGCGTAATTTTGCGTGCGGCGCGCTGTTGTATCGACTGCTGATGGCGTATGTTAAACTGAGCAGTGACGAAGAAAAAATTCTTTAAATTAAAGTGGTGTTTAACTATAATAATTTTTCTTTAACCCCAAACGGGACTGACTATTGAATCATCAACAATCATTATACCATTCAAGCAAACACACACCACAAAAACTCTATCATGTACTGTGAGTTACAAGCCTTAAAACATGTTATTAAGATAATAGCCAATGACCACAAAAAGAAAAAAAAGAAAAAAAATAAAAAAAATAAAAAAAAGAAAATAAAAAATAAGCAATTGAAAGAAAAAAATGACTTTTTAATGATCAATCATCTCGTATAATGCATTATTATTATTTGTTTTATAAACATTTTTAGACATTTTACTTTGTTTTTTGTGTTTTTTGTATACTTTTACTAACTTTCTTCCTTTTTTTTATATTCGTTTTTTACTCGTCCCTAAAGTTTCTTTTTTTTCTTTTTTCTTTTTTTTTAAATAATTTAAAAAAATCAATCATCAAACTTTCAAGTGTACTGATTTTTGTTTCTGAATATCTTTTGAACGCCTTATTTAATCGCCAAAACATAAGACACCATTTTTATAGAGCAGTTAATTTCCTACATTAATTTGTATTGTCCACTTTTTAATAGTCATTTATTGTCGAGTTATAAAATTCATAAACAAAAATGAAATTTGTCTAAAAATCATCAAATTTAAATCTTCAATATCATTCAAATGGTGAGGTTTACGGAAAAARTATAAGATACCTTTTTTGTAGAGCATTAAATTTCCTACAAAATTCGTAGAAAACATTTTTCTGTACAATCAATATGTTAATTAATCAAATGTAAAGAATAAGTTTCCAATTAATATTTTAATGAGTAAATTGAATAACGTTATTGCGCTTATTAGTACAGTCTTAAGAATTTTAATTGTTAGCGTTTTGATC